TATGGGTGTAATTGGATAGGATTCCGCTGTCTCAATGACCTGCGCATGGGTTGTGACATCTCCTGTAGTATGTGGTCCGGAATCTCAAAAGGCAGCAACGGTTCCTCTCGATTCTGGGGAGCTTGCGTTTCTGTGGTCTCTGTCCCCTTCTGTCCCTCTTGTCTATCTCGTAAACTTTCATCATCTTCACCCAAACATATCGAACGAAGGGATGAGAGAGGGGAAGAAAGAGGAGAGATATTGTCATTCTCGTTCACTAGCTGCGTCTCAGCTTCATCGACAGTCGGCGAGTTCTTCTGGGTTTCGGGGTCCTTCCTCTTTGAAAAGTAAGTAACCCGTCTCCGTGATGGCTGCAAATCGAACTGTAACTCGTCTGGGGAGCTGGGAATGTCCCATATGCCGGCCGGCGGTTGGGTGCGAGGCGTTGACGGAGTAGTGCTGGGATTCGTGGCGGTCACACCACTTGAACTGGGTGACGAGTCTGGCACCTTTGCCGTAGCAGACGCACTCTGGCTGGCCGGATCTTTCTGCTTTCCTTGGACAGAGCCAGAATCGCTTTGAGACGTCTTCTTCCTCGAATCCACCGTCGCAGAGTCCTCCTCAGCCTTATCAACGGCGGGCGTGCTTTCTTCAGCATTCTTCAAGCCCAATAACTCATTCTGAGCTTTGTCGATACCATCATCACCAGCGACATCCAATTCTCCCTCGTTTGTCTCATCGTCTGCAGCCGGCGCAGTGAGCTTCGCATTGGGCGCAACAACCTCTTCGGTCCCTCCATCAACATCCTCGAACCTTCCATTCACCACCTTTAATTCCTGACTGTCAAAGTCAACCTCCGAGTCCGAGTCCGGTACAAACCCTCGTTCCCGCCATGATTCCATTTGTGACCTTGGCGCTGCTTGCCCATTTCCCTATTCGTCCATGCTTCGTCCGCGGCTGTGAAATTCGTCCAAGATTCCGGCGACCGATGCAGATGAGAACCGACCACAAGAATTCAAATGCGTAAAGGTCAAGACCAAACGTCTTGTCGAATTGGTGATTCAGGTCGAACAAAGTTGTTCGTTGATTAGACGCGTCGAAAATGCGTGGAGACGCGTTGTTCCCAAAAGGCGGAAATCGTAAAGTGGATTAATGATATGGAGCAGTTCCGCAGTGGGAGCCTAGGAGCCTGGAACCGCTGGCCGTTAAAGTGCCAATTAGATACGGATAAACCCAAGTTGATCTCCTGATCTGCACGTTTCTTGTCGGAGTTTCTACGGATATAGATGATCGGTCATAACTTGTTTATCTTGTTCCGACTACGATAATCGATTTCGTTCGACCTACCTGCAGCAGCTTGCACCATCACCATCAAAACATGAGTCGCAACTTCATCCCCGCGGCATTGGCCATCGGCGTGGGCATATTGACCGGTATGATCCTGCAACCTTCAGATTGCTGAACCCACAAACTTACAATTTTGGGTTTCCTCTCAGGCTACTATACCTTCCAACCCGCACTCCAAGAACTGCAGATTGAAAAACGCAAGCCTCTATCGTATGTCTCGCTCTTCCACGCTCTGCGACGAGCCGCTGCGCATTGATTCAGAAGATGAGTTAGCCGTATGCTGATGGACATACGCAGGACAAGTGGACAGACTGAGCAATCGGGGAATAGTCAAATGAAGCCTCAGACTGCTGCGTCAAGCTCGGAGACTAAGCCGTCGGACCAGCAGAGGTAGCGCTGAGCAAGAAGCCGGATAAAGGCGGATTTGAAGATCGAAAGTTTTCGCAGGCGCAGGAACTTCGATGAAGCATGTGGGAGCGGCGTGGTACAAGACATCTCTGCCCGGAGATAGAACTACTTCAGATTGCGATCTCGAGGGCCCTCGCGCTGCGCCATCGCGGGACCAGGCAGCTAACTGCATGATGGAATAGAGCTCATCGCTAACTAGTTCCTGCTAGTGTCGAATCGGCGTCTACAGGTATCGACGGGTTGCTTTACAACTTGGTGGCTGAAACTAATCGTCACGGACGGCAGTCGCTAATGCTTCCCATCTGAGAAGTATGCTTCGTCCATCGACTCATGGACGGTGTTCCATTGTGTTATAAAACAAGTATCTGACTGTGCTGTATAAAGATCAAACCAAGCAAAGGTATATTAGCGCATTTCTACGCTCCTTTTTCTATCTGAAAGACCAACCGAGTAGGGTATGATACACACTTGAGAGAAGAAGGTAAAATACATGGACGGAATCAATTTACGAATCATTAGCCCTCCCAGTTTCAATATCGTAGACACAATCAATGCCGCCTAAAACTCCCAGCGCCATTTCCCAGTCTGTCATGCCGAAAATCAGACTTCCTCTACAAGCTTTGATGGCCGGCTAGGAGCTTCCCCAAAGACGCGTCCCGCAGGAGTTCCGAGCCATTCTTCAGGCACACCGATACGACTGCCCTCGCGGCCACTGACCCATCTGACCATCGTTGGCTGTGGTTTCTCTGCCTCTTCTGCCTCTGCCTCGGCGGCGTTGGCTTCCGCTTCAGCAACTGGAATACGACCACGTCGTTTTGGAGCCTGCTTGCGCAACAACCTATTAATCGTATCCATCTGTGCTTATGCGTTAGCGACGTGATACAGCGAGTAGATAGCGGAATTCCGAGACCGAGAACGGCTGCTTCACCGGCCCAACTTACCTTTTCTTCCTCGTTCCGCTTCTCGCTGAGGTTCTTTCTTCTTCGAGCCATTTCAGCACGACGCATAGCACGTTCCTCTGCCGTTAGGTGCTTCTTCACTTGAGGTTCTGGTATTCGGTCAGCAGCGGCACTTCACTCGAAACACTTACAGAAGGGAAACTCACCCATGGGAAGCTGCAAAAAGTCATTGCCGAGGGTTCCTCTCTGCCGCTTGGTTAACCGGCTAAGGTCGCCTCCGGGTGTGACCTCTTCGCTATCATCGTCCTCCTCGTCTTCTTCATCCTCTTCATCCAGGTCCTCGTCTCCTCCATTTCCATTGCCAAGCCCACTCTCGTCCTGGTCATCAGGCTCACCCTCGGCATCCGTATCCAGCTCTGATAGCTCCTCATCATCTTCGTCATCTTCCTCCTCCAATTCCATCTCCTTCTCCTCCACGCTCTTTACAGCCTTTCCCGTTGATGTGGCAGCACCCTTGGCGTGTCTTTTTGAAGTTGGTGGTCGGGGCGGCGCATCGTCCAGTTCCAAATCGCCATCCGCATCGGCGTCATCCTCACCAGGTGCATCCTCGTCGACTTCATCCTCCTCTTGGTCTTCTAAATCATCCCCCTCACTTGTGCTGACCTCTACGAGCTTCCTCTTGGGCCGGCTAGACCGCGGTCCCGTGATGATGGGATTTTCAGTGAAGACATTGTGGGAGCGTCTGGTTGAAGTGCTACCCCGTGCGCTACCCCCAGTAGCTTCGCGAAGCTTGCTCGAAGGCATCCTTACAGTCAGGAAAAGAGATCTGATGGGGTTCTCTGCGCTGCCTGAAACAGACCGAGTGACTGTTACTAGTGGGGCAGATGGGACACCACGTGTCGATCTGGTAGGCCTTGGACTCATGTCAGAATCGATGCTTGATGGATCATCCCGCACTGGACGAGAGCGAAGAGAGCGACGTATAGACATAGCCAAGGAAAACAAGTGAGACTTTTCTTAAATTATATGATGGGGAACAGGAATGAGGGGTAGGAAAGACGATGAAGAGAAGATCGTTGTAGTGATAAATCCAGCGATGCGATGCGATTTAAGCAACAACTGAAGACAGTTTAAGAGGGTTGATGGGAAGAAGCTTGCAGGGTGAATGCGTCGACGATGCCTGACTATGAAGATTCTAGCAGGTGAAGCGGGGATGCGAGTGAATGGGAGGTAATATCCACAAGTAGGCGGATGAGCTCAAGATGATGGTCATCGAGCAAACATCGATTCATAGGATGATGGATACGTGGGCCATTGTAGATAGACGTGTGTAGGTAGGCCATGCATTCCGGGTAGACGCAGGCAAGCTACGCCTATCACACTTTTGACGCCAGTTAAAAGTCGCAAACCGGCATCAAGGACGGGGACCAATTAGGGCGTTGCGATTTAGGATGGGATGGAGGACACCCGTGCCAAAGCGACAAGCGACTAAGACAACGAACCCATCGCAGACGCGGTGAATTCCAACGCTTGTGCGCTCGTTTCTCTCCGCCACAATAATATACCAGGGGTGTATAATCCTTGTAGTGACCGTGGCAATGCTACCCCAAAGACTGAAACAATCAAGGATCGAAAAACACACCAATGACAAGTCCCGGGCTATTGTGCAGATGGACAGGAAAAAGGAGCAATACGAGAGGATGGATACTCACTCGACCAGAAGGAACTAATAGATGGTTCGTTGATAGAGGGAATCGACGGGGAAGGGTCCGAGATGATCTTGATGGCAATCTCCTTGTATATCTCAGGTATATATATAGAGTTCAGACAAAGAGCGATTGTCAGTGGTGAAACAATGAAAGATGGATATATGTGCTATTTTATAAGTGCAGCACTTCTTAATGGATGATATCAGGAGTGCTCTGTATGTCCATTCTTGTCCGCCGGTCTTTGATTTATTCCTCATCCTCATTATTCTGCCGCTCAGCGGTCTGTGTTCTTGGCAGGCGTACATCTCTATCCAGAATATCTACTTGGAATTAATTCTGGAACCGAATACTAGAGGGTTCATTGAATACTCCCAGACCAAGGATACAGGACGATATTATCTGTCTGAGGATATCATTTATACCAGTATATCAACGTGAAGAGTCCAAGAATAATGTACCTCTAAATGATCAGGTGATCTGTACGCCGCAAATTACATTACATTACCATACAGCCGAGGTCTGGGGAAATCGACCCCAAAGAAACGGCCGACCTCTCCATCGCTCACATGGAGTTCGATGTCCATCTCTCCTTATCTCCTCCGTCACTTCACTCTCTCCTTGAAGTCGATATTTTCCTTTCCCTCTCGTGGAGCGCAACATGTCCGACATCAAGCCCAAACCCCCTTCAATCCCTCAATGGCAGCAACCTGCCGCTTCCAGCACAAACACCGACAACTCCACCTCCACACCATCGCCGAGCTCCGATGAGACTCCCCGTTCAGAGCTCATAGAGCAAGCCAAAAAGTTCTTACAGGATGACTGCATACGCGATGCGCCCATTGATCGCAAGATAGCTTTTCTAGAGTCCAAGGGCCTTCGAAACGAGGAAATAGACAGTCTCCTGGCCATCTCGAGAGATGCGGACTCAAGCAGCCGCAGCAGCGCCGAGGAGAACAAGTCTACCCCGGATTCTACCACATCATCCACCAGCAATGAGTCGCAAAGTCCCAAAGAACCATCTTCTCCATTACCAACATCCTCCGCATCTTCGTCCACCACACCCGCTGCTCCAACCGCCACCAAGAACTCCGCGCCACGCGATGTCCCACCCATAATCACCTACCCCGAATTCCTCATGCAGCAATCCAAACCCCCACCACTAGTCACCCTCCGCAGCATTCTCTACACACTCTACGGTGCTGCCGGTCTAGGAGCAAGCCTCTACGGCGCAAGCGAATACCTCGTCAAACCAATGCTCGCCACCCTCACCAGCGCCCGCCTGGAACTCGCCCAAACCGCCAACATCAACCTCCAAAAGCTCAACGAGAAACTCGAACAGAACGTCTCTCGGATCCCGCCCCATCTCTCTGCAAAGGACACAAAACAAACCGAGCCCGCCGACTCCGAAGACGACGAGCAGGACTCCATCACCTCCGACCCAACAGAGCTCTTCCACCGCGACGTCGCAACCCAGACCTCCCAGGATCTGGACGCAAGCACCCTCCCGCACAAAGCAGATCAGCACCCCGCCAATGAGGCAACACCCGACCCCACCGCAACAGTGAACACGCACCTCAAGCGGCTCGAGAACATCACCTCGCATCTCCGCGAAGTGGCCTCCTCGGAGAAAGAATCAGGTGCGCTGGACGACTCCGTGCATACCCGGTTGAGCGAACTCCACCATTACCTCGATGGCCTGCTCTACAGCAGGTCCAGCTATAGTTCTGTCACGGCGTATGGGGTATACAGCACGCCTGGCCTGGAGACCACATCCGGCCCCTCGGCGGGCATCAGCAAAGCCGAGGAGGACGCAATGGCCAGCTTCCGCGCTGACATTAGAGGTGTCAAGGGCGCCTTGCTGAGTGCGAGGAACTTCCCCGCCAGCCGGGGAAGAACCGGCTCAGGAATTCTGTCTGGAAGGTGAAGGTCGATGTGTATATATAGTTTAGGAGAGAATGAGCATTGTTCAAATCTGAATATGAATGCTGTTTTTTTCTGGATTGATATCTCCCATCGATCCACTCAAAGATAAGCACTCATTTGCATACTGCTGGCCATGTATATCTATTTCTGAATTCTAACAAAGTTGGTTGAAAAGAGTGTTCTACGTAGAGAGCAATCTTCTAGCTGAAAGTCAAAGTCTAAGTCATTTTTCCTTTCCTCTTCTTGCTCTCTTGAACTATAGTAATACGGCAGGTAAGAAACTAGCAGAAACATCACTGTAACATAGACATGTGAAGATATCCCGACCAGAACCAGGCTAGCGAGGAGAATCCACAACTAGCTGGTGAGATGGCGGCAACGCCAACCACTATACAAACAACTCATAACCACATTGCATCCTACATCCCCAATAATTAACTCATCAAGGCGTGGCCCGGCTCATACTAATCAAACGCTTGACACCAACCTAGTGACCCAGAATTAGCATAAGTCAACCTAAGCGGGATCGATCAGAAATTGACATACCATCCAGTTACCGCATTCCTCTGTCCTGTTCGTCATGATATCAATATGAATAGTCTTGGCCGTCTCGTAGTCGCGTGCCTGAATAGCCCGAGCAAGCTCCGCCATGTCGGCGACAGTGTTAGGCTTGAGCAGATCCTCATTGTTCAGATGGTCGAACAGAATATTCAACCTGCGTTCCGCGTCTTCAACCTGCGCTTTGAAGGAGGATGGCGCTCGAGACTTCACGCGCTGCATGTCGGCGGAGAGGATCTCGTAAATAGGCATGGCGTCTGAGGGGATATGGGAGCGGTCGCCGGGTGCTTATCAAAGTCAGAACTACGATTGGAAATCAAAGAAGTAGAAATGACTTACGGTACTTGGGGGGAGCGGGAGCAGCCTTCCGTTGCGACGAAGCGGTGCTTGGCCTCGAGGGTGGAGCCTGGGGCGGCGGCGCCTGCTGCATCGGCAGTTGACTTGGTGGTGGCGTGCTAGGAGCATAAGGATTTGCTGGCGGAGGATGCGACGCTGGTTGTGAAGCATAGGGCGAAGCAGCTGCATGCGGCGGAGGAGGAACAGGCGCTCTGGTGGAGAGTTGCGGGCTTGCTGCTTGAGCCGCCGGGCTAGGTGCATACCTGTTCGACGGTGGTGGCATCGAAGGCGGGGCGTTGTACGGAGATGGCCCGCGAGGAATTGACGCGGGGGGAGGAACGCCCATGGCTGAGCCCATTGGAGGGGACTGAGGCAAGGAAGCGTAGGGGTTGGCCGCGGGTGAAGGGCCTGGTAGGTTAGTAGGTGGCGAGGTCACTCGGGGAGGAGGAGCCGTGCCCTTTGGTGGAGGAGGGACAGAAGGGGCGCGCTGAGTAGGCGGGGCTCCAGGTGGTGGAGGACCTTGAGAAAGGGTTGGAGACTGGTTGGGGAAAGGCGAGCTGATAGTTGCCGCGGCAGCGGCGGGTGTTCCCCTGCGGGAGGTTGGAGGTTTTGTGAAGCCCTCCGGCAAGTCGTTCCAAGCTGGCAGATTGGTCGCTGTGGTGTATGTGGTCACAGTAGCAGGAGATTGGTTGGAAGCGCGAGGAGGTGGTGGAACGGAGCCGCCGAGCGGCTGAGCACCGTAAGTTGGCGGCTGCAGAGGCTGATATCCTGCAGGAGTATAACCTCCACCGCCAATTGGTGCATATGAGTTGCTTGTCTGCGGCTGGGTCGCAGCTGCGCTGGGAGGAGCATAAGGATTTACGGGCTGCGCCGTAGCAGCCGTTGGGGGAGCATAAGGATTCCGAGGAGCAGTAGTTGCAGCTGCTGGAGCAGCGGCAGTTGCAGAGAAGGCGGGCTGCGCAGGGTACATGCTGGCTTGTGGCAAGGGCTTGTTGACGGGTGTCCTGGTGGTGGGAACAGTTTGTTGTGAGCGCTGAGGTGTAGCGTGTCTCATTGCCAGCTTGATGCGGTTCCTAGCGATCTCGGCTTCAGGGTGCTTCTCAGGGACAAGGTCGAGGTACTTCTGGGCAACTTGCAGTCGTCCGTGAGTGGCCACGACATCGGCGTACTCGATATACTTGTCATAGAGCATGCTGAGTTTCCAGTCGGCATCCTTGGTACGCTCCGTGTCTTGGAACTTGGTAACCTGGCGGAAGATGGTGACCTTCTCGATCAGACTCTGCAGAGCACGAACGTGGATTGAGAAGGAAGTATCGTCTGCAGCCGTCTCAATGCTCTTCTGCTCGTACTCTCGAAGCTCCTCGATCCAGATGGCAATAACCTTCTCGAGTTTGGATCCAGCTAGGAAGCAGAAAGAGGCATCCTTGCGGAGGCTCTTGTCTTCGGTGCTTCGAATCTGCTCTTCCAGGCGGTCACCAAGGGCCTCGCAGAGATCGGCAAATTCATTGTCATCGGCAAATGTGCACAGCGCAGCCATGACTTCCTTCCAGTTAGACAGGTCGGCATTGTGCACGACATCCCAGAGGTTTTTGCCAACAATGGATGCAAGCAAGCGGATGTAGTTCGGCCCATCGGTTTGCTTCGAGAAGTAATGCTCCTGCGCCTTCTCGATGCACTTCTGGCCTCCACAGATTGCGATCATGAACGCGTCTGACATGCGGTCTTCTTTCAGAGCCACATCGAGTGCCTTTTCAAAGTTTCCCAGAAGCAAAGCTCGGGTAATGCCCTTGTCCGCTTCGGTCTCAGAGCCATTGAAGATCTGGAATGGGTTGTTGGTCTTGGCTCCCTTCGATGCAGCTAAATCGGACAGGAAGTTGTCAGCTTCAGGGTTCGCGTCAAACATCGACTGCAGGCGCTTGTGCTTCTTGGCTCCCGACCCGCGGGATTCCTTGGCCGACTCCCCGTTCACCTCGTCATCCTCCTTATCCAGACCAAGCTGGGCCAGTTTATCAGCAGTCTCGTCGGCTTGATCCTGGAATCCCAGGTACTCGATCAAACCCTTGCGAGGGTTTTCTGAAATCAAGGCTTCAATGACCTTCCAGTCAGCCTTCTCCTCGTCACTTGCGGCCTGGGAAGCTCTGTTTTCGCAGATGCTCCGAAGGTCACCCTCCTTGAGTGCATTCTCAAACGTCTCCGTAGACTTTGCGACAGCCTCGTCAACCTCGAACGGAGTGATCTTAATCTTCGATGCGCGCTTGCCCTTCTCGATTAGGCCGACCGAAATCACTCTGCCACCGAAGCCAAAAGACGCGCCGCAAGGTCTCTCAAGCCACTTGGGGGCCTTCGGGAGCGAGAAATTCGATACCTGGGGCTGCGTCTGTGCCTTCGCGAAGAAATCCGCGCCGTCGAGCGCTTGGTTCTGATCAGCGATAGCCCGAGCGGTGTCAGTACGAGTGTTCTGAACCGTCTGTATCGAAATTCTCCCGTCGAACGAAGCTGTGGCAAAGAAGTTTGGATTGTGTGGGTTCCAGCGAGTCTGGAAAGTCCAGTTCGTAACAACAGGGAATTCTCCGTAAGCTTGTCCCGTCTGAGGGTTCCAGCAGAGAGTGCGGTTGTCCTTGCCGGAGGAGAGAAGTAGGTCGGGGTCCTGAGGGCACCAGGAAAGCGATAGCACGCCCGATTCGTGTCCTTTAAGGGTCTAGAGAGCATTAATTATACTTGTGCTATTGCCTGTGGAGGAAGAGGGAACTCGGAGCTCACCCGTTCTGGGGCATGGGAATTGCGGAGATCCCAAACGTAGATAAGAGGATCGGACTCCAGTGGTGTTGAAGTAATGAGTTTCGTGGGCTGTCCAAAGTCAGAGATAAGATCAGCTCGGTTGATTTTGTTTAGTCTCACCTTCTCAGGATCCCACGCCACTGCGCTAACAGCTTTCCGGCCCATGTTGTTCAGGGTCAAGCTCTCCTTCTTCGTCTTGACATCCCAGACAGTGACAAAACCAGCACTGCTACCCGTGACCAGGATGTGTGCGACCTTCTTATTCCAGTCCAAGCATTCGATATCGTCAGCGCGGGCAGCGGCGCTTCCGAGTCGGTACGGGTTCGCGATATTGTTGAGATCGGAGATGTAGAGCTGCAGCAGTGAGCCTTACCATAACATGAGCAATAAGTCGGTTGAAACAATTACCTCTCCCTTTGCGCCACCAGTTGCTAACAAATTCGAGTGCTTGGGATTGAACTGCAACGCCTTGATAGCCCCTGAATGTTTGGTCATTCTCGAGATGACAGCGTCACTGCTTGTAGTCCGTCAGCCAATTCATCATAGCGCGGGGGTTCTGTCTGCGGACGAACCTCGAACCGTTGATTAGCTTGTCGGCATCCCATAGATCCAAGGAGCCGTTCTCCAGTGCACCAGCGATCACCCCCCTTGAGTTGTCCTCGGAATCTGTCCATGCCAGGTCGTTAAATCTACGAATAATAACAGTCAGTCTTTCTGCGCAATGAACGGCCAAAATTAAGCAATAGAAGGATCATACCCAGAATCAGTGCCAATCTTGGCAATGGGCTGCAGCTCCTGACTGGCATCTTGGCTGCTCAATCCAAGATCCCAGAGCTCAAGACATGTTTCATTTGAGAAATCGACATCGACGGCGCCGGCCCGAGTTCCGGTAGCAATCAATGGCGATGCTGCACCAGGGGACCAGGCGAAGGTGGCCGTCCGGGGGATCTCCCTCAGACGCACCATGCTGGAAAGTAAGAGGTGCGGGATGACAGGTAGGTATAGATTAGGGGAGGATCAGACTCAGAACCGTCTGGCGATGATAATCATTAAACGACAAAGAAAAAGATGGAGCGAAAGAAATTGAGGAAAGACAAGCTCACAGAAGCAACAGGTCCCCTCCTTAATCAGTAAACGGAAAGGAGCTTATAGGTTAAGAGGTGATCGAGACCTGAACGATCCGATGCCTTGGGCTCAAGCAACCAAGTGTCCTTCTGGAGGGGGCCCGGGGGGAGTGACGCTAAGCTCCATCGGGACCTCGCCAAAACATCCGCGGATGCACGTGACATCATTCATTCCGCTGAGGGTCCAGGCAAAGAAATCGACTTG